GTTCACTGCAGAGAAAGAGAAAAGCCACTCCGAAGCTTCCTCATGAAATCCAATTCTAAAAGGTAGAACAAGCAAAGACATAAAACTAGCCTGGTTGAGTTACACGGAAAATGGCACTCAGCGACCGTGTACAAAAGGTATGTTTCGACACTGACACAGAGACTGAATTATCTATCATGATATGACAAGTATCGCCAAAAATGGACCAACAGAAGTGGCTCCTCACTCATTCATTCACTCCCTCAGGCACAGTAAAGCACAGTGATGGTAAGTATTGACTTCAGAGTCTGAAATTCCTGGGATCTAATCTCAACTCGATGCCTTACTAACTTTGTGCTGGCTGGGAGTTTTCTTCAGTTTTCTAAGCTGCAGTATACACATCTATAAAATGACCTCACATGGGGACTCTAAGGATTAATTCACAATGTGTAGACACTATGCAAGGCTTCTGTGAACATATCAAGAAAAAAGATTGATAAAGTCGCTACAAACACAGATCTTAAAACCCAAACAAACACTAACTACACAAATGATTTGAGCAAAGAATGAAGTTCAAACTAAATATTGCTTTTAGCTCATGATTAAAAACACGCCCTGAATGCAAATATTCCTAAATGCCAGAGTTTTTAGTTTCTCCAAACGGCGAATGGTTAGGATTACATTAATTGAGAGATATTACTACTTGCAACAATATCTTTTCTCACAGGTAGTTTGAAGTCTAGCATATTCACTTTATGCTTAAAACAACAAATTCCAATGAAGCAATGGTTCAGAAATTCCATTTCACATTAGGCAGGATTCTACAGAACAAGGGTCAAGTCTGTCTTCTTGATCTAAGAAACCCACAGAGCCATCTCTTTTGGCATGGTTCTTGCTTCTTTTAAGACTCACTTATTGGACTTGTTTTAAAAAATTCCATTATAGACACACAAAAAAACAGTTGCTCTTACATATTTCTGAAGTCAAAAACTTAAAAGGCCTAATTTTTTTTTCCCCCCATTTCCCCCCACTAAACTTGCCAGGCTCCTAGGACCATTCACGATCTTCTAGAACAATGTAAATTGAAATTGCTTTTAGATCTTGTATCATAAGTAGAAGCAATTTTTTCTGTCTCAGCTCAATGACCCATGGAGGGAGAGAAATTCAATAGACAGTTAAATGAGCTGATGTATGTGGTTAAATTTTAGATTAAGAGCAGGGGATCTATAACTCCTCAAGAAATTTTAAAAAATTCAGTCTCATAATAAGCTAAGAAGAAAGAAGAAAAGGGCAGGAAAGAAAGAAAAAAAGAGAGGCAAGTAAAGACAGAGACAGGGCAAAATTTAGAGAGACAAGGAAGACATAGAGCACAGAGAATACAGACTGTTTTGGGCAACAGACCCACCTTGTGGTCATTTACGATACTGCCACACCAAACTTCGTTCCTGTCGCCTTTGGCAAAAGGAAGGCTTTTGCTGTGAGAAGACCCTGGTTCCAATGGGGCTTCTGTCACTGCCCAGTCAGGATCAGCTGGGTAAGTCACTTGGCTTCTATTAAGCCTCAGTTTCCACGCTTGACTTGCCCTTCATACCTCACAGGGTACTGTGAGGAACCAATGAGATTCTTATAGAATCTATAAAAATACTGGAAATTACAACATTGCAACTGCTAAAACACAAAGGCAACAAGAGTCTCCTGGACTGGCATAGGAGGTAAAGCATTCCCAATTCCCACCTTAATCAGGAAGGATTAAGAAAAGGGAGAAAAGGGAGTCACAACTTTGCTTTTAAATTAAAAAATAATGGAATGGGATTGAATGAGTTACAGAGCCAATATTTCCTTTTTAAATTCTATACCAAGAAACCGAAAAGCTAGTTTCCAAACCATTTACATGGTAGGAATCCCCTTTCTTATGTCCAGAGGGTCTCTAAACTGCCCAAAGATCCTATGCATTCACTGTAACCCCCGCTTGAAGCCCTCCCCTTCACACAGTCCACACAATGCAGGCCTCATCACTGAACTTGCCAGTGACTTTTATTTCTAAGTATACAAATTATCACCGTGACTGAAGTCTTTTGCCAATAACTGGCTATTGCCTGTAGCTCCTCTAATATTATTTGGTTTTAAGTATAGTTTTCAGAGTAAAACCAATAATCATCAAGAACTCAACTGTACATACCATACCCCATCTTTTAGCAGAAAAAGCTCATTCTCTCACATCCTGGTGAATCTGCAGGTTTTCCAGGCTGAGTCAATTTCAAGAAAAATTACTATTCTTCTCACCTGAAGCCATATGCAAGTAGGGAAAATCATCCAAAGTGTACCCTAACCATGCAGAGAGCTTTCCAGGACCAAAAGGAATTTTGTATCTAAGCAAATAATAATGTGAGCTGTGCGGGCTTGTCAACTTTAACTCCTTGGAAGCGTAGGCAAGGAAAAAAAGACATCAGACACCTCCGATCTGGACTTGGGAAATAAAGAATCCATATATTATTGAAGTGTTTCAAGCTAATGAAAACACAAAAGGTAAACCTTCGGCTAGATCTATTTTTAAGCCTTGCCCAAATCCATATTAACGCTTCTTTGTAAAACACTTGGCAGAAACTCAACAGAAAAGTCACTTACTCACTTGTCCAACCAATAATTATACGTCAGATCCTGTTCTTGTACTGGGGATTCAGCAATAAACAAAAGAGAGAAAGTGCCCTCTGTCAGAGGCTTAATTCCAGCATGGGTAGAGGGGAATACAGACAATAATCAAACAAATAATGTTAAGTAGAAATACGTGAAATGTGGAAAATACAAAAGGATAAGGAGACAGGGTGGAAAGAGCTGGGGAAGTGCTACTGTAGATACTGCAATTGGAGAAGGCCTCTCTGGCGACACGTTCACGGAGCCTGAGACTTAAGAGCTCCAGGTAAAGCCATGTGGGCATCAAGGAGAACATTACAGGCAGAGACCAGCCAGTACGACGGTCTGAGGAGGGGACAAGCCTGGCACGTTTGCGAAGAGTAAGGAGGCTGGGGTGTCTGAGGTGGAAAGCATAAGGGGAAAAGCAGCAGCAGCTGAAATTAGCCTGTTGGAAGGGAGATGGTGCCAGGTCTTGCAGACCAACACTAAGAACTCTTGAGTTTTATTCTGAGATAAGAAGTCAGTAGAGTTTTAAGCACGTGAGAGATGAGATCAAGAAGAGTCTGGGAGGAAACCACTGTGGAAGCAGGAGGACCAGGGAAAGTACTGGAAAATTCCAGAAGAGAAGGGAAGAGATGATTAGACTAGGGCATGGGTAATGAAGGGGTTGAGAAGTGATCAGATTCAGGATGTAGTCTGATGGCAGGGCTTGGATGTGGAGGACAAAGATGTGAAGTGTGAGAAAGAGAGTAGGAGGGGATGGTATCACGTTTTCAGGCCTGAGCAACCAGGTCCCACAAACAGGACACAGGGACACTGAGAAAGGAGCAGGTTTTGGAGGGGAGGGGAAGAAATCATAAGCAAATAAGAGGCAGCACCTTCCTGTATGGCTAAACCAGGTAGAAAGAGTAGCTCTAAGAAGTTCAGAACTCACATGGCTCTGCCCTTTCCACAAAGCCATCATCAGTGTTACCGAAAAGAGTTTGTCTGCTTGAAAATCCAAGAAGGGAATAATCAGAGTAGTAGCCATTGTTTCTTAAACCCTTACTCATTAGCTGGCACTAAGGTAAACACTGTACACACACTGCAGTTAATCCTCACATGTAAAAACACTTAATCACAATATCTGGCACATGATAAAATACCATTAAATGTTACCCATGATATATGTATGTAGCATTTAAATTTAATGATAACTTTAATGACTGATTTCTGGAAGTTCTATTTCCTTTTTTTGTTGTTCAAATCCCCCATTCACTTCACATCAGGATTCCTACCATTTCTCAGCCTAACAGGTAGTTTTCACGATCTTGCTTTTACAAACAGACCATTCCAAAATCCTAGCTTTATGCAGAGACTCAGTTTCAGCTGCCCCCGGAAGGCCCCAAATCATGTCATAACTTCATGAGCATTAAAATCCTAACACATAGTTTGGTCCCATATCCCCTTGGGATGCTCTTTTATTATCACATACACGAGCTGTGAGCTACTTTGTTTCAGGCACCTGGACATTTCTTTTTCTTTCAAGTTCATCCAGGTATTTAAACACTTCTTGGATCATACTTTATTTGGCATCTCCGAATGTTTAAAGAAGGGTAGCCTGAACTAGCTCAGTGTGACATATAACCAGAACCAGAAGTCCAGTGATACCTTAGAGATGAGGAAGCGGTGCCTTAAATAGGTCTGTGCTCTATGCAGCAGACAGTGAAGCTTCTCTCCTGACTCAGAGGGCACAGCTCTACCCTCTGGAGTCACACCAAATACACGTGACAGTCAGCCTTCTATGCACCCTATAAGCATCTCAATACAGCTATTTATTCTGTCTCCCATTTGCCTCCACCCTGCACATTCCAAACTAAACTCCCACAATTATTTTTCTTTTTTAAAAGCAAAACTTTAAAAAAAAAAAAAAAACAAATAAAAGCAAAACTTTCATAACATGAACACAAGGAGATTCTTTTTTTCAAGTCTTAAAATAATACAAATCATAAATGCTCCACTGGAAGTGATAAACAGTGAATGGGTTTCCTTCATGTTATTATTATTTTCACTTTAGGGAATTTATGACCACAACAACAAAAACTGAAAGTTAAAGGACGACGCAATAAAAATCATGAAACCTGAGTTCTGCCACTAACTAGCTATACAAAATTAGGGGGCTTTGTGTTTTGGTTTGTCTTCAAAATCAGAATAATAGTCCTTTTCCTAGAGTTCAAAATGGGGAAAGCAATGAGATTTAATTCATAGGTTGTAATATATATGAAACGATTTAGAAAATTATACAATACAAAGGAAAACATTATTATTAATGTATTATAAATGTTGACAGTTTTATCAGGAAGAGTGAGACACTAACAAAAGAATCTACATTAATGCAAAAATGATTTTACCTTCATGTTGCAAGCCAGTTCCATTAGTTTTTTCGCATTTTCTTCTGAGCGGTATCTCTTAGGAAGCTGAACCCTGAAGAATTTCAGGGCACCTTCAAAGTCTGTCAGTAGCAAGTCATCTTTGGAAGTCTTGAAGAAAGAAGAAAACACAACCATATACAGAAAAAAAGCTTTTTTGCTATAAAGATGCTCAAGAAGCATTTCATAATCCCAGCACCTTTATAATCCCCAGAAGATAACTTTGTAGCCTTTGCCAGAGCTACTTGCATCTGTCCACTGTCAGGGATGATGCTAGAGCACAGCGGCTGCTTAGAATGAGACCAAAAATGCCAGACAACCCAGCTTACAAACAAGTGTGCACTGTACCTTTAATAACCCAAGGGCGACGTTAAATATAACACTTATTCCCTAAAAGAGGAAACACAGAAAACATTTTCAGTATTTAGAACTGTACTATTAAGCTATTTGTCTTCAGAATATCCCATAATTTTAGAGAAATTGTAAAAATTTGAATAAAGAAATGGAGTATCTTGAAAATATTTTGGAAAATAAAAATTACAGGGCCACCACTGAAAAACCACTTAAGGCAGACCTGGTTTCCCACTCTTCTGAGAGAAGGGCTTTTCTACAGCTATTTTCACAGTTCAAGAATGCTTTCCAAAGTATACTTTGCTTTCAAGCTAAAAGATTAAAGTCATAAAATTGTGATCCCTCATGAAATGACGCCTGGTGTCTCTTCCACGGCCCACTGGAAGGACAACAATCGCCCTGTCCCTGAGTCCCAGAAATGACTCTCCTCAGGGTTCCCTCCAACCTGCCTTTCTTCATCTAATCATTCTAGGAGTGGTGGGGCAAAGGAAGCTGAGGGGAGGCACCAACATCTGCTGACCAAGTTAGACTTTCAAAGTTTCTGGGCCTCAATTTCTATAACTAATATTCTCCCAATGGTTTTCTGAGCTAATTAGCTGAGAAAATTTAAGTTACTTAGCCTGTCACCAGACCCACAGTAATTACTTAATAGTTGTTTATAATAGTGAAAAACTAGATAAAGGTTTGCGATTAGGAATTGGTTACATAAATTATGATCTATCCAAAGAATGGAATATCTGACAATAAGTAAGAATAATGGTATATTTCTGGAATGCTGTTTCTTATGTTTCAAGCTAGACACAAGATACAGATGCTTTAATGGATTTTTGTATTCTTTAAATATGGGATAATTAAACAAAAAGAAGGATGGTACAGATGTATGTGTCTATAGATATTCAAGTATGAGATAAAAATAGGCTACTGAATAGCATATAGCATAATATTTTATATGCATATAAAGTCATAACATACATAATATACCATATGAAAAAAACTGTTCCACACAGAACTTACACATACACATATATGAAAACACACAAAAAAAGACTGAAAGAATATACATCAAAATGATAAAAGTGGTTTTCCTTTAGAATGGGATTAGAAGTATTTTCACATCATTTTGCTTATACTTTCTATAACAAACATGTATTATTTTTGAGATTAGCTTTTTCTTCTTAGGCACACCCTCCAAAACCTAAAACTAAGCTGTGGCAAAGATTGTTATTTACTATAATATCTATTTTCTTTTAGTAATAGACTCCCAAGTTTAAGAAAATTTCCAGGCAGCTTAAAAAAAAAAACTCTCCTTAGCAGCTAGGGATATGGTCATGTACCTAAGTTCTGGCCAACAAGAGGATAAGTGGAAATGCAGGTGGAAATTCCAGGAAGTGTCTTTTAAAAGAGGGGGTGCACCTCCTCTGAACCCCTAAACTTCCTAGCTTAAATACAGAGACAGTGTTTGGAGCACTCATCAGCCATGCGGAACAAAGCTGCACTCTGAGCAAGGCGGTTGCTGCCTGTGACACAGGAAGGACACTATAAACAAAAGCCTAAGTGCTGTGGCCTCTGACACATACCTCACATAAAAGCAGGTCGATGATATGGAAGACCATGTAGAGAGGGAATTTTGCAGTGAAGAGCGTAAGAAACCACTGGGAGGCATACATGTGTGCTTCAAGGCTTATATCCAGGAAGTGGTTGTACAGGTCAGGAATGTATTCCTGAAATAGCAAACTGATTAGCTTTAGGCACATATGCAGCTGTTTAACTCTCATTCAGGAGGCTCATAAATCTGCCAAAAATAGGTAAAAAATGTCATATATTTGTGTTTTCCTAAAAACTGAAAAAGCGCTCAGAAGAACACTTATCATCTGGTATGAAACTGGCCCTAGGCTCTCGTTTTCAGTTCACAAAGTAGCTCTGCTCTGAAGAGGAATCCCCACATGGTGACAAATATCTGAAAGGACAGTTTTTCTTTCTAAGTTATGAAATGTTTGGGAAAGTTTGTTTCACTTTTGTTAGGAGATTCCCAACCAGTCAGCTTCAGAGCCTTGGTAAGTATTTCTTGACTGAGTTTGCTGTGTTAAAATAAAGGCTCCTACACCCATCTGATCTTCTGGGTGTTTTTGAGACTGAAAACCTGGCTCACACCCATCAGGTTTAACACCTTATTAATCTTGGCATCATTATTACATAGAGAGAAACGAAAAACATTAAACCTGTTCTTGATTCTGGATGGCTAAGGAATCACCACTGTTCCTTGGCACCATTTCTTCAATCCTGTTCTTCCCAGTCCTGTACCCTTATTGGCAAATGCGAGCTGGATTCTCTTTTTACCTGCATGAGGCGCTCCAACTGGTAAAATTTGCAATGCAAATCTTCAAAGTTTTGCTTGAAAAGTTCCCTGAGACCATAGTCAAACATGATCTTGACCAGAACACTGAATGCTTGTTCCTCAGGCATCTGTAACAGGGAAAGAGGGAAGGGGTGGGAGGATCAAAAACACATAAAGAAGTTTTCTCAGTATGTAAAATTCAGTGGTATGTAATATCTCAGATCTCAGTTGTGTTGTGTTTCATAACATTCATTCCTTCAACCAGGAAATATTTAATAATGCCTATTCTATGTCAGACACTGTTCCTGCCCTTGAGGAGCCTCTCATACAATAAGTAAATAACTAAATCTCATACAATAACTAAAATGAATTAGTGAGAAAGATCAGTGGGAAGACAAGAAAAAAGACTGAGTATTTCAGAGGGAGCTAGGAATAGACTTTAGAGGGAGGACAGGATTCGAACTGAATAAGAACAGGCCTACTACACTTAAGTATATGTTTCACCGTACCCAAATCACAAGACCTTTGTTAAATCATTTTATCTCCTTAACTGTTAATTCATTTCAGTAAAAATGTTCTTCTTCCTCATTGTTGCTAAAAACAAGGCTAGTTACAGAAGAACCTTAAGTATTCTAATGTTTGGAGTAATGCTTCAGGTATTACAGTAACACTTAAAATACTGCAAAAGCCTCCCACACTTCACTTCTATTTACAGATGCTACTCACTTATATATCTTCCGTAACTTTACAGAAAAATGTCTTCTTGAGAACCTGGCGAAATGGCTAGTTTTCAAAATATAAAAAGAACACTGGAAATATTTAAGGCATGATGTGACCATAGCAAGCTTTTCAAATGTCAGGAAGGTGAATGGGTTTCTGTTGAACACGATGACGACGGTGGGCTGAGCAAAGAAACTGGGAATAAAGCAGAGCTAAAGGGCAAATCAGACTAAGTAATGAAATGAGAAGAGGACAGCAAATCACTGTTGGAAAGGTAAGGGCCTCGGGGGCAAAGGACCAGACCTTTGAGGTCTTTATCATCAAGACAACTTCACTCTTCACTCGCTGAGGGAGACGTGGCCTACCTAGAGTGGCATTTCTGATGTTACGCAGCACATCTGCCCCTGCTCTGAATCAAGCACTCATTTTAAACACAATGGCAAGCAGCACAGAGTTCAAACCAAGACACTGGGGATTTGATCGGGAAACTCCTTTTAAAAGTGTTGTGATACTTAAATGGGGATAAATGTCCTTGCACTAAAGTTGAGAACAAAAACAAACCATATAGACTTGGTGAGACTCTGAGATATTAAAGTATGATGAAAACAACAAAACAAAAATTTAAAACTTGACCTCATGATGAAGTGTTAATCAGTTTGAATGTGAGAATCATTTCACAATGCACAGTATATCAAATAATCACATTTTACACCTTGTATACACAATTTTAATTTGTCAATTACAGGTAAATAAGACTGGGGAAAAAAAACTTGACCTCTTCTTTATCAATGTCATAGCTTTCTCACATTTTTGCATGCCTACCAATACCAATTAGCTAGGTTCATAGCAAGAAGATGTAAAGTGGCTTTGTTACACTTTTATTACAACCTACACAAAATGGATTAAACATCTTCAACAACTTCCTCTCCTTAGAGAAACAAAATCTAGACTGTGTGGCCTGGCCTCCATGGCCCTCCTTCAAGCTGGTCTTGACCTCTCTAGCTCACTCCCCACTCCCCATGGCTCCTGATGCTCCGGTCATACTGCCCTTCTTTCAGTTCCTTCTAGATGCCAAGTTTCCCCCATTTCAGGGCTTCCATATACTATACTATTCTCTTTGCCGGGAAAGCTCTAGTTCTAGCTCTAGTTCTCCACTCTAGTTCTCAAAATAGTTGTATTATTTTTGTAACGTTTAAAGAAAGTTAAATGATACAGAAAAGTACAAAAGAGAATGGATGTCCCTTCTCCTTTTTCAGGGTTCATGTTAAAGGTTACCCTGCCAGAGAAGTCTGTAAATGAGGCTTCCTTGTTATTATCCTGTATCACACTTTTCACTGTACCTTCATAGAGCCACTGAAATTAACAATGACATACTTTCACTGCTTTTTTGCCTATAACTAGGCAGCCTCACTAGCTCTGCATCCACAAGGGCTGGGGTCATATTTACTTCATTCACTCCAGATCTCTATCTAGCACAGTTCAGACCATAACAAGTGCTCAAGAACTCTCCTACCATCATCTGTGTGGTATTTTTGCCAAGCATTTTAACTTGAATCATGAGGAAATGATCAGACAAATCAAGAATTTGGGATGTTTTACAAGGCGATTTGCTTGAATTTTCCAAATTGTCAATGGCATTGGACACACAAAAAGGCAAAGAGGACAGTTTAGATTAAAAAAATAAAAAGCAATGACAATCAAATGCGATGTTTGAATCTTTACTGATCTGGGTTAGGAAAAAAAGAGCTATATGAACTTCACTGAGTAAACAGGCAAAATTGAATATGAACTGTGGGTAAAATATTACTGAATTTGTTAGATTTGCCTGTGATATTCTGGTTAGGTCCTCAGGAGATACAGACGTAAGTATTTAGGAGTGGAGTATTTTGATATTTGCTACTTATATTATCCAAAAGTAATTCAAACAAATTTTTCCATAAAAATATAAAACATCTGTGTTTTGTGTGTGTGAAAAAGGAAGGAAAAGAGATACAGAGAAGGCAGTGTGGAAGAATACTGAATTGATAAGTCAAGTGTATACAGGTGTTCACCTTAACAATTTTTCAATTTGGTTGTGGATTTAAAGAAACACTAAGAGGGAGGATAAAGGTCTTTGCTGAATGAATGAATAAAATGGCACTGAAGCAAGCCAACTTCTCCCTCCTAGCCCAATACATAAATCTCAAAACAAAGACTGATGACAGCGGCTAGAGAAGATAAAACGTCCCCAAAGGGTTTAACCAAGACTAAAATCTATCCAATTATCCTAGTAATAAAAAAAGCTCTACCCTTGTACCAATTTTCAACACTGCTTTTATTTTTACCATGTTTCTCTCCCATGATGCCATTATATTAAGGAAAAGGTTTCCAGATATACGAGTTAACACTCATGCACTAGAGTCTGCCCAAAGGCAATACAAAGCCATGATCAAGTCTGAGGCAGGATATGAGAGACCTGATTACTTACATGGAGAAGCAGAACAGCAGCGAGAAATGACTGGCCTTGGCAATAGCCAATCTCTTCATCATACACAGAATAAGCCTGGGGGGAAAAACCACAGGAGGTGTAAATGAATGCAGCCAGTCTTAAAATAAAACGAAACAAAACACAAAACTTTATTTATTTGGCTGCACTGGGTCTTAGTCGCAGCATGTGAGGTCTATGAGTTGTTGTATGGGGGATCTAGTTCTCTGAACAGGCAGGGATCGAACCTAGGCCTCTTGCCTTGGGAGCCGGGAGTCTGTCTTTGCTCACGCTTTTCCTTCTCTGCCTGGAAATGTGCTCTTCCTTAAGGTTCCAAACATATCCCATTCCCCCAGGATTCTTTCTCTCCTTGGTAGGTCTTTGGTACTTACTACAAATGTATGCTTACTACAGCACTTAACACACTGCATTTTAGAGGTTCCTCCTCTTTACTAGACTATTAATTTCATAAGGGCAGGGGTGGTGCCCTATTCAACCTAGCAGCACATCAACACATACCAGGCACTCACCAAACACTGTCAATGTTTGTATGTGTAAACATGCTCTCATAAATTCAGGTGAAATTCAATATAATCTCATTATATCCCCCACTCTGTCAAAGCTCATCTGATGAGAGGGCCTACAGAACAAGAAACACCCATCTTTTCCAAAGACAAGATGTACAGAGAGATTTAGAAATGATCTTTTATAATTTAATGAGACAACTTTCCACCTATCAAATCAGTAAAAACTAACAAGTGTTAAAACCAGTTTCAGTAAGGCTGTTAAAAACTAGCAGTAACATATGCTAACACAGCTCTGTGGAAAGCTGTTTGACAATACAGATGAAGGTATCAAACAACATTTGATTAGTCACGAAAGAATAAAGGTTTCACAGTTAACAGTTGTGCTGCAACTCCACAGCTGCTAATATCCTGGTCTGACTCTTAGGCCCACTACTTACATTCCTTATTTGTATGATGAGAATAATCACAGTATTTATATAATAGAGCTGATGTATTATTCTCAGTCCCCTCAAGTAAAGTACTCAGAGTACGGCTTTATCAATTATGTCCTGGGATAAAAACGTACTGAATTTTCTATAGGTATAGAATGGAGGGGAGCATTTTTCAGGCTCACAGAAAAGCCTGAAGGAATGCATACAGACATGAAAGTATGTAACACACTTGGGAAATGTTTGGAATATAAGGTTCACGGGGGCTGTAAGGAAATATGGGGAAGAAAAGGCATTTCATTAATTCATCAACATTTAATCAGCACCTACTATAATATGGCATGCACCGTGCAAAGTGCTACAGATGCTCATATATGTAACAAATGATTCTTGCCCTTGAAAATTTCACAGTTCAGTTGGGAAGTCTGACAAGCAAATCAACCAGAGTACAGTGAGAAGTTCAATGTGATTGAAGCATAAAATATTTACGGAATAAGCCAGGACATATTACAGAATGCCTTTAATACTAAGCTAATGGATTTAGGACCAGGAAATAAACTAAGAAATTTTGGTTTCATTCTGTGGGTTTAATGGAGGCCACTAAAATAAATGATCCTGCTCTAGGGTCAACACAGAGAAAAGAATAAATAGGCTCAAACCCAAAGGCAGGGAGACTAATGCAAGGCAGCTTTTATGTAAGTGTCAGCAACATATGATAGTGGCCTGTACCAGGGCAGTGAATAGAGAGGGAAGTACTGCTACAAGAGACAACAATCATCAAACTGAATGTGGCCAAAGGAAGGAACAGAAAAATAACTGAAAAAATGACTGTATCTTCAGCAAGACAATGGCATAGGGGTAAAAGGAGAACTGTTTTATGTTTAATGATCTTATTTTTTTGATGTATGGTGAAGACTTTAGGACTGTGATGTTTGAAGTTTGCTTTAAAGCATTTTAGGAAAATTTTTTTTAAGGGAAGATGAAGCAACTGTGGCAATATGTTGATAAATTTTGTATCTGGGTAGGGATATATACAAACTCATTTACACTATTCAACTTTTATGGATGTTTGAAAATTTTCATAACAAAGTATGTTTTTAAATGGACTGTATTATTATACCTTTTCTGATATACTTGACAGACTTCCACAAGGAGACCAAAAAGCAGCTGGAAATTCAGGCCTTGAGCTAATGTAGATTTGGAAACATTTATGCAGTGGTGACAACTGAGGCCGTAGGGTGGAAGGAGTCAGCCAGGTGGACAGTGGAGAGCTACAGTAACCAGTGGCTGAGCACCGAGAAAGAAGGCCTCTGTTTTAGGAACTCGCAAGACAGAGAGAAAAAGTCACGAGGGAGGGAAGCAATGAAGTTGTCAAAGAAGTGAGAGCTTAACCAGAAGGGGGAGAAATCAGGAGCAGATAAAGCTGTAATTAAGATCATTATGAGAGAGAAACCACAGCATAGGGGGTCAGGAGGACGGGATCAGAGTCAGTGAGAACAGGGTTTCTTTCTGTGACATTTTGCAGGAAGGTGAGGGATAGCTAAAGTGTTTCCTTAAATGGGAAGCACAACTGAGCAGGGGTTAAAAAGGATGATGAGAAGAGGGTCACAACAGAAATGACAGCTCTGTAAGTTCTATGAGGAAACTGAAACTAAATCCAAGAGACAGTCGCGAGGTCCCAAGCGCCCTCACAGTTTAAAGCATCTAGTTTGTCACTGGGGCTTCCCTGTGGCTCAGACAGCACAGAATCCTCCTGCGATGCAGGGGGCCCGGGTTCAATCCTGGGCCAGGAAAATCCCCTGGAGAAGGGGATGGCTACCTGATGTAGTATTCTTGTCTGGAGAATTCCATGGACAGAGGAGCCTGGTGGGCTACAGTCCATGGGGTCGCAAAGAGTCAGACATGACTGAGTGGCTAACACTTTCAATTTATCATTGGAGAAACTGTCTTTTATTGCCAGTCTGTCCTAAAACTGGCTGTTGGTTTTGCCTTCTCAACCATAATATGCAAATTCCTTGAGGGTATGTCTTGTGCCTTGCTTGTACTTCCTATATAGTAAGTGCTAAATAGGTACTTACTTAGTTTTAGAGGGAATAGACCAAAGCCTAGTTCTGAGGACCAAGAAAGTCAAATTCATCACTTACAATATGAATACTAAAAAGGAGTTTGCAATGCTGTAGGACTCAGAGGCTTGTAACATAAAACCAACTCATGAGTCTAAATGTGGTGCCAGAGAACTATTGACTGAAAGTCCTGATTAAAAGAAATCCTACCATTTTATTTTAAATTATTTCCTGTTCACCATGAATCTAAAATTATGTTGTTACTTCTGGTTTTACAACAACTATTCTCTTTTTTTGCATTCTTGGACATAAAATACAAATTACATTTTGCAGTTATCTTTTGCATAATTTCAAAGAAACAGAATAACTGCCTAAAACAGTCTTTTTTGGGGTATGAAATACCTTGCATAAACAGAAAAAGAGACTCAGATGTATAGAACAGACTTGTGGACTCTGGGAGAAGGCGAGGGTGGGATGTTTCAAGAGAACAGCATTGAAACATGTATATTATCTAGGGTGAAACAGATAACCAGCTCAGGTTGGGTACATGAGACAAGTGCTCGGGCCTGGTGCACTGGGAAGACCCAGAGGGATCGGGTGGAGAGGGAGGTGGGAGGGGGGACTGGGATGGGGAATACATGTAAATCCATGGCTAATTCATTTCAATGTATAACAAAAACTACTGTAATGATGTAAAGTAATTAGCCACCAACTAATAAAAAAAAAAAAAAGAAAAGAAAAAAGAAATACCTTGCATATTTTATATAAGGAATCTTGTCCATCTCCTCCTGTGTCCTTAAAGTAGTCGTGGGCTGGGAATGTCCGGTTAATATCACGAGTGATAGCACTGTCCTGGGGAGACTCCTGTGGAAACACCAGGAAGCAGAAGGTTCAGATGGATGTACTTGTCTAGGCTAATACAACAAGGTCGTCTTCTAATTTACCTGCTTTAAAATGCTGCAGGAACATACATACACACATGTGTGCCTGCATCTTCAGGGAAGGAAGAGCAAATATTAAGAGGGAAAAAAAGGAAGAAAGAAAAGAGACTCGTTTCACTCTATACACCTCATGTATACTCCATCCCTGCTGCAAGAAGTGCAGGTGATAACCTTTCTATTGTTAAGAAGGAATATGTGTTTCAAAACGGATTTCCCATAGGAAAACACTCAATCTAACCTCAAAAGAAAAGCAAAATGCTCCCGTTAGAAATACTGGGTACAAAAATTGCTGCTTTAATTGATCCTTTGGCACAAAACTCATGGGCCAGGTTCTCAAAAGGAAAAGAGGAAGTTCCCGGATTGGAATTTACCCAGAGGCAAATTACATAAAAACACATAGACTTCTACTCAATATGAAACAAGACTATCAAATGCCTAGGGATTCAAATGGGCTATGGGAAAATATCCCTTGCTTTTTTACCAATGGAGAAAAACTGTTTCCTCTTCTATGATGAGTAATTAAAACTAAACGAATATCAGTAACGCACAAAATACACCAAACACCCAGCTATTTCTAATAGCTTCCCTTTGTTAAACTTTATTTGCTCATGCAGTGAAGAACTGTAGCACAGGAACATGGCCTTCTGTTTTAACAACATACTGTCCTCACAGCTGAGACAACAGACTTGATTCTCCTCAGTGAGACTGCACTATATTCAGCACACCATCCAAGAGCCTGACACTCCTGTTTCAAGTGAAAAATTAGTAATATATTTTTTTTGGTCTGGTAATTTTTCTAGCCTTTTAGGTAATCAGGTTCCCAGGGCCGTAAATATTTTACAGTTGTGGAATCTAAAATAACTTTATATTAAAAAAAATTTTTACTGTATAAATTTGACATGCAACATCATGTAAATTTAAAGTGTAGGGCATGTTACTCTCCATGGAGTTGCAAAGAGTGGACTGAGTGACTAACACTTTCACTTTGATACATTTACACTACATTGTAAAATGACTGCCAGTATAGCAGTATCACATTATAGCCAGAATACAGTATTACTGCCTACAGTATTACTACTGCCTACATTCTAAATACTGGGCATTAGATTTCTGGCTTATTTACTACTCATTACAAGTTTGTATGCTTAGATACTATTCTTTTTTTTTTTTTTTTCATTTATTTTTATTAGTTGGAGGCTAATTACTTTACATCATTACAGTAGTTTTTGTCATACATTGAAATGAATTAGCCNATTACTTTACATCATTACAGTAGTTTTTGTCATACATTGAAATGAATTAGCCATGGATTTACATGTATTCCCCATCCCGGTCCCCCCTCCCACCTCCCTCTCCATCCTATTCTTATCCTTTCAACCTCCATCACTAGTGAGCTAACTTTAAGCCTATACTCTTTCTTATCTGCAAACTATTTAAGCCTACAATGACACTGCCAAACTGCTCCAAAGAGATGTACTGGCAGACTACCGGGATTTTTTATTTTTTCTGACTACTAGTTTTTAATGCATCATTAACAACAGTCAGGGCAGCTCTGAGCTGTGGTGATCCCTGCAGCACAAACTGCAAGGGGAGAATTAAGACTACAGTGGTTGGTTGCCTGGTGGCAGCTTCTAGGCTGTAACACACAGAGCAGAAACAGAGCTGGGGATAGGGAGTACCTCCCTGAGTTGAGAAAAGAGACAGCAGAATTCAGGGAGGGCAAGGTAGCTAAGAGTCTGTAGCTCAGAGTACCAAACAGGAAAGCTGAACAGAAGGAGGTCTGCAAATCTACCTAGAGGGGTCCCTGTGAGTCACAAAATCATAAGAAAAAGATGATAAACTGGACTTCATCAAATTAAAAATATTTTAATATTCAAAACCTACTGTTAAAAACATGAAAAACGTAAGCCATGAACAGGATAAATCACCTATAAGATCTATCTGATAAGGGACTTATATTCAGAACATATAACTCTTGAAAAAATAAGGCAACAAACAACTGATTTAAAGGGAGGAGGGGAATGGTAGTAAAAGATGGAATAAATGCTTCACAAAAGAAGACACAGAGATGGCAAATAAGCATATGAAAAATTTCAACATCATTAGTTATCAGCAAAATATAAATTAGAAGTTCAATGAGATTTCTCTACATGGTCACTAAATGCTAAAATGAAAAGTACCCAATCAATATACAAAGGATTGGCAAAGGGTGAAGAACAACTTGAACTCTCATACATTGCTGGTGGGAATGCAAAATGGTACAAGTACTATAGAAACTGTTTGGAAGTTTCTTATAAAGTTAAACATATGAAACATACGCTTATTATGCAAATTCAGTGACTCATGTCTACATAGTCATCCAAGAGAAATGAAAATAAAAATACATGTAAATATTTGAACTCAAATGTTCATAGCAGTGTGATTCCTGATAGCCCACACTGGGCTCTAGTAGGTACACGGATAAAGAAACTGTGGTATATTCATATAGTGATGGAATACTACTCAGCAGTAAAAGGGGAAAACCCAGTGATATGCAACATGATAGAACACAAAAGCATGAGACTGTATGAAATAAGACAGACATAAAAGACTACTTTCTATAATTCCATGTATATGAAATTCTACAAAAGACAAAATTACAAAGTACAGAAAGCAGATCAATGTTTGGAAGGGGCTGGGGCTCAAGGGAGAAGGCTAATTTTTAAGAGCTATTAGAGAACTTTTTAATATGCATATTAAAAATCAGAGGCATTACTTTGCCAAGAAAGGTTTTTCGAGTCAAAGCTATGGTTTTTCCAGTAGTCATACATGGATGTGAGAGTAGGACTGTAAAAAAAGTGGAGTGCCAAAGAATTGATGCTTTTGAACTGTGGTGTTGCAGAAGACTCTTGAGAGTCCCTTGGACTGCAAGGAGATCCAACCAGTCCACCCTAAACACCCTAAAGGAGATCAATCCTGAGTGTTCACTGGAAGGACTGATGTTGAAGCCGAAACTCCAATACTCTGGCCACCTGATGTGAAGAGCTGACTCATTGGAAAAGACCCTGATGCTGGGAAAGATTGAGGCCAGGAGGAGAAGGGGATGACAGAGGATGAGATGGTTGGATGGCATCACCAACTCGATGGACCGAGTTTGAGTAAGCTCTGGAGTTGGTGATGGAAAGGGAAGCCTGGCGTGCTGCAGTCCATGGGGCTGCAAAAAGTTGGTCACGACTGAGCGATTGAACTGAACTGAACTAAGAGAACTTTTTGAAGTGATGGAATTATTACCCATCACATCTGTGGTACTAATTAAAACATGTATTGTTCACTTAAAGCTGGTGAATTTTATTGTACGTACATCACATCTAAATAAAGGTGATTTTAAAATGGCAAACAAACAAAAGACGATACACATACAACCAAACAAGAGCCCCTGGATGATTCAGGTCCTTTAGATTAAGAATTTCCAGTACTAGTTTAGCTATATGTACCTAAAAAATGAAAATGATGACAATTCATCTTTAAGGCCTTAAAACCAGGGGCTTAGCTTAGAGTCAGACATACCTGGGTTTAAAAGCTGGCCTATTCCCTTACTTTGCTGAAAAACTTAAGGTAAGCTTATCTTCTCTGGTTAATATCACCTACCTTATTCAAGTTGTAATGATGGTTACATTAAATAATCTATAAATTATAAACATGTAAAGAAAGAGCCTTTTCCAAGGCTTCCCTGGTGGCTCAGTGGTAAAGAACCTGCCTGCAATGAAGGGGACATGTGTTAGCTCACCTGGGAAGATCCCCTGGAAAAGGAAATGGCAACCCTCTAGTATTCTTGCCTGGGAAATCCAATGGACAGAGGAGCATGGTGGGCTACAATCCATTGGGATCACAAGACATTGGGGCATGACTTAGTGACTGAACAACAACAAAGAGCTTCCAGAACTGTCTGACACATATATAAAACACTTGATAAAAGTGAAAGCAAGCAAAGTGTTCAGTACCCTGAGAGCTGGGGCTGTCCTCTAAACACACACACATCCACACATAAATAAGCACATACTCATGCACACAAATATGCATGTGCACACACACTGTTATGCAGAGTACACACACACACGGTTCACAGAATGTGTATTGTTTTTACTTTTGTATATCTTATCTTCCTATAAAACTATTCACATAGGGGTAGAAACTGTTGGTTTAGTTTTGTAACTTTCACAGAGCCTAGCAAAATCACGACACACACTTAGTGCTTGATAAATATATCTAAGAAAAATCCAAAAGCTTCCTTAAAATTGAGTGATGACAATGCTCATGTGATCAACAGCTCTCCCCAAACCACAATCTCTAATGCTAACGTTTATTAATTCAAGACTCATGTGAAAGAGGCAGGAGACTAAATCAGAAGAGAACCTTATTAATAATTAAAGATATTCTGACTAAACACCTGAAAAAAATCAAGATTGCTATAATGATTGATTCATTAGTGACTTTCAAATTGTGTCATATGCAGGCAAGAGAATAACTGTCATGAGAAATAGATCAGAGCCCCCCTTGTGGCTTCTCCTTATTTTTTAACAAAAGAAATTAAGGTTATTTTAAAAAATTAAGTGCCTTATCAGTACCTTTAGGGAAGTATACTGATTTTACCAAGCCATCCCAAAACTGAAAATTTGTTTACTCAGGGGTTTTATTATGAAATATTTCAGTAATGCTAAAAGTATAGAGAACATATAATGAATACACATGTAGATTATCAAGATTAAGAAAGCAAACATCATAGATACAACAATGGACACCTAATTCCAATCTCATATACCCTCTTCCTTCTTTTATAGTTAACCACTATCCTGATTTTGCTATCACTGCCAGGCATGTTTTAATGTATATGTTATGTACAAATATGTGTACAGATGCATGTATTAATATATGCATATGAATATA